GGAGGGAACAGTTGCTGGAGAAGGATGTCATGCTGGGTAAGGTGGAGGGTCAGAGAAAAAGAGGAAGACCCCTAACGAGATGGATTGGCCAAGTGGCATCATTGATGGACTCAAGTGTGGTAGCGGTCGTGAGGTTGGCCCAGGATTGGACATTGTTTCATTCTGCTGTACATGGGGTCGCTATGAGATAGTTCCGACTCGATGGCACCTGACAACAACAACATACTTAATCTGTATGCTGTGCAAAATAACCCAAAAAGATGGATTATATGAACAATAATAATAACTCGTTAACATCCTGTGATACAATTTACATAACCATTCTTATCCAATACACACTAGGCCACATTTGCATGAAGCAAAGAGAACTTGAAATACTGATGAATATCAAAGACTAACTTTCATGGCTTATATCGAGCACACCGTAATTCTCAAAGTGCATCTTTGCTCTTTAACACTTTACAGAGGTCTTCAGCAGCAGATTTACTCAATGAAATATGTTGCTAGATTTCTTGACTGATGCTTCCATGAATGCTAATTGTAAATCCAAATAAAATGAAATCTTCCACACCTTCAAAATTTTTTCCGTTTATCATGCTATTTATTGGTCCAGTTGTGAGGATTTTCAATTTCTTTTCATTTAGGTGCAATCTGTACTGAATGTTATCATCTTTGATATTCATCAGTAAGTATTTCAAGTCCTCTTTGCTTCTTGCAAGCAAGGTTGTGTCATTTGCATATCAGAGCTGCTCTTTGGAAACCCTATACAGAGTTGCTGTGTGTAGGAACTGACTTCAAGGTGCTGAACAACAACAAATTGACATTAAAATAACACTCAATACCTTACCATGTCAAGTTAAAACTTACAATGTAGTTCCATCACACACTTCTCCCAAATATGGAGCTGATAATTCAGTCTAATTTTATATATTCTTTTATAATTAAAAAATAGCCAATTCCTAGCTCAAATAGTTTCCTTGCTAGAGTCCAGCAACACCCCATTCCATTCTTATCCAACACACACTATGCCACATTGATATTTTCCTTCAAATATGGGTTAAAATGTTGTCATCTTTGTGAAATCTTGCATATGTTTCCTCGATGTTTGTGGTGTAACTAATCACTCTCTCCTTTATTCTCCAAAATAGTATTTGCTTATGCTTTTCCTATATTTCTTATCAGACCAAGTAAACCATATTTGCAAGTAAATCTCTTTCCTTTTTAAAGTGGTTATTTCTTGAAGGCTAGGATCATGCTTTATCTCCTCCACATCCCCAGCTTTTAACCCTTTGCTTAGAAAATAAAAAATACTGTGCTAAATGAACAGCTTCAATTATAAGGTAGCTTTAGTTCAATTACTAGTTCTAAATATGGTTCAGACAGTTCAGTTATCATCTCCTCTAGGAGCTTTCCCTTCATCCCTCCCACTCACAGTGAATTAGGTGATCTCCTTTGAATTTACCTGTTTTAATACTTTTTTAAATTGGTAGTATTCCTGTTATATGTTATATGGAGATCCTTGAGGGCATAAACTGTATCTTTCACACAGGTCCAGGCATTGTAGCACTTAGTGGTGGTGGTGTTAAGTGCCATCGAGTCAATTCTGATTCATAACAACTCTGTATAGGGTTTCTGAAGAACAGCTGGTGGATTTGAACTGCAGGCCTTGTGGTTCCCAGTCGTCCAGTGCTGATCCTGTACCACAACACACGAGGCACTTAGTAGGGATTTTTAAATGTTTGTTGAATGATAAAAGGAATAATTGAAAGGAATAAATAGCCAAAATAAAATCCGTTTTTAAAATTCTGATTAAATAGCTTCTCTGAATTCAAAGAATTTTAGGCTAGCCATGACTGAACCGAGAAATTATCCATTCTCATCAGCAAACATTAATGAAAAAAAAAAGATTGTTTATCTCGCTTTTTAGAGAAAGCTTTTCCTAACCTGTTAGATAGCTGATAAGAAAATGTGAAGGGATTGGGAGGTCCTTATACATAATTAAGTACCTCATTCTTGCAGATACTTCAATAATTCATATTTGAAATATACTTTTTTCAACAAAATAGGTTTTTAGAAGCCTCCGTTGGAGGATGTTGTGGTTGTATGATTTTACTTTCTAGGATCGTAAGAGATTTGGGGATTCCAGGCTTTGCAAGTCAAAATTAATAATGAGTTATGTAGACACATGGAGAAAATTGAAATCACTCCCCTACTATGAGTGATAGGCATATTGCTAAAATGGAAAAGGACTAATATTTGATTGAAAACTAGAACAAGAGAAAGAATAAATGCAGAGAGTACCAAGAAAGGGATGAGAAAAGAAAGAAATGTTTAGATAGAACATTCTCTTTTTTCCTTTGCCCTGTGTCCTCCAGTTCTCCTTTTTAGCATAATGCCTATGAAATGGAGTGATAAGTACTAGAGAAGATTAAGAATGCTGAAATGATAGTTTATAGAAGATGTGAGAAGTTGTGGTATACTGGACCAGTTTATTTCCACTCACCTGTGGACCTGGCTAGGCACCTTGAAGGAACATGCAGTGTACCTATTGGAACTTAAGTCTGTTTGAGATTGAGTCTCAACATGAAAGGGAACCGAAGCATCATATTATTGCCTCTCTGAAATACAGACACAATTCAGGCATAGTTGTGGTTCTGCATAATGTGCTGTTTGTAGAGGAGACTCACTGTTTTGAAATAAGAAGGGGTTTTAAATGTTTTCAGCTACTAAATAGCTCAAATCAGGAGGAAAACTTGACTCTATAGAGCAAAACCCTAAAGTAAGATTAGAATTGCGAGTAGAGTCAAATTTTGTTTGAGAAATAGCAGTTGAGTCAGATTAGCAGGTCGACTGCTTAAGTCAAGAACCATACATTCAACAAGTGTATCAATGTACCTTCCTTACTCAAAGCATTGGGAAGAATAATAAGGGAAATGTTTCAATTCTAGGCATTAATGTTGGTTATTTACTAAAAGAAAAAAAGTGAACATATATAATCAACTGTCCTTATTTGTAACTATGAGACTCACTTGTTTAAAGTACTGTAGAGTCCATTCTGACTTGGCAATCCTGCATAGACTTTCCAAGGAGCCACTGGTGCGATTGAACCCTCTAACCTTGCTGTTCACAGTCTAGTTCTTATCATATAGTACCATACCAGGATCCCAGTAGACTCACTAGATCAGTAGTTTTTTAATTATTTCGAAGAGTGTTGAGATGCTCTGAAGGTGCCTTAGCTGTTCAAGGAAGATGAGAAAAAAATAAGCTCTCCATTGACCTCTTGCTGCATCAGTTATACTAGCTCTACTTTTATGTATTGTATGCACTGTAATTTTACACAATATTTTTGGAACCAGGAAAGGGAGCTAAACACAAAACTTTGGAAAACACAAGAAATCTCTAAGATCCATTTCTGCTTTGAAAATTTATGACTTTATGCATGGTTGACTTAGAATATCCCTTTTAACTAAATCTTATGAGTCTTTGATTTCTCTTAATGTGTTTCTGGCTTGTACATCTCTAAAATTGAACAAATAAGTAGTTTTCCCATTTTCACAAGTTAAAGTACATATGCCATATTTCAGAAGATTGAAATTTTACTTACTAAATAAACTCTTTGTTGTTGTTGTTAAGTGCCACTGAGTCAGTTCCAACTGATAGCAACCCTGTATAGGGTTTCCAAGAAGTAGCTGATGGGCTTGAACCACCTACCTCATGGTTAGCGTACAGTGCTTATCTTACAGTGCCATACTAGGCTCCGATGTAAATAATCTTTGTAGACTTATATTTTTTATCGTGTGTAAACTTAATTTGGAGTCCTGGTGTGGCACTGTAAAATAAGCATTAGACAGGTAACCACAAGGTCATTGGTTCAAACCCATTAGCTGCTCCTCATAAATATTATACAGGGTCACTATGAAACGGCACTGACTTAGTGGCACTTAACAACAACAGCAAACTTAGTTTATTGAACATAATACATACAAAAGTCATTAAATACTTATTTTGAATAGCAGACATTTAGCCATATACCTTGATTGGACTTAGACTCCTCATATGGCATGAATATTTGTCAGTATTCACAATCCAGTTTGAATGTTTTAGGAATCCCCATTCTGACCTAAGAATCCCATTCTAACCAAGGACCAGCATCAGAGTTCATATTTTGAAGCTGATGTTCTTTTGTTTAATACCTTAAATCTCAACTGATACTGCTGAAAATAAAATAAAATTCAGAACATGTTTAATAATGCCAGCATGTAGTGAATTCTCACCAAATGTTTATTGAATTTATTAATAATAAAATTTTATATTTACATCTCATATTTACTCACCTTCAGCTTGCACAGAGCTTCCATGTATCATATATTTCATGTTAGCTTCAAATAAAATTGGGAACAGAAACTAATACCTTATTTCATTAATGAGAAATTTGAAAACCAGTACAGTAATGAAGTTGCTTTTTTCTCCCAGATATAGATTAATGTGAGCTTCTTAAAACTTATGTACCTTATTTTGTCTCTGACTTCTCTGGTTGTACCAATCTCTTGGTTTATTGAGCAAATATTTATTAAGCACTTGTGTACCTGAGGATAAAACAGACAAAAATCTGTCTTCATCAAACTTATAAGCCTCCTTCATTTTCGCTCAGTCTTCAATATATGGTCTAAGACTATAATAACAGGTTTAGAAATGTATGTAAGTCTTAAAATGAAAAAGGATCAAGCTTCTTATTTGGTAAAATTTATGTAAATGTATCTTATTGTTATTACATAGTTTATGTTTTGAAATTTCATTTGTTAAATCAGTATGAAACTAATCAGAACTTTCCTTAAATAGCAAAGCACCGATGTTCATATGGTTAGTGATAGTGACGGAGATGACTTTGAAGATGCAACAGAATTTGGAGTAGATGATGGAGAAGTTTTCGGCATGGCATCATCTGCTCTGAGAAAATCTCCAATGAGTGAGTATTAGCAACTCTTTGAGTCTAGCATTATAGTTTTTCTCTTTGATGGGAATATTTATGTATATGTGTGTGTGTTGGTGGGGGGGGCGGTGACAGGGGAGTGAAGATGGGGCAGATGAGCCAAACCTCTCACTGAACTCCAGGTTTGGAGAGGAAAATATAATAAATGGACATTCTTCATTAGAAACAGAGTCTCTTGAATTTTAATTTCATTAAGACCAGTGATTCCCATTGCATTAGTAAAATTCATTTAAAAAAATGCAAGGGGATGGAACTTTTTCAGGTGTATACTAGTCATAGCTGTTTCTATTTACTGTAAGTTTAGAGGTTGAATAGCAGTCAGTTGTGTTTTCTGTGATTATACTTGCATCCCTGTTACTTATCAGTTATCAGTGTTAAGAGAAGAATAATACTCTTCAGTTTATTGGTAACTGTCTTTTGAAGAAATACAAGTAAGCCAAATATGCTACTCTCCTCACTTCTACCTTAAGGATACATACTGTAGAATCACAAATGATGCTGCTAAATAAATGGCTCATCTACTATGTGAAATTTGGGAACATCTGTGGACAGAAATTAATCTGATGTTTACATGAAGTTTTATAGTTTCCTGATAAATAAGGTCTTTAAAATAATTTGAGATTTTAAAAATATAATTTAATCTCAAGATGTTTATTTCAAGAATTGAAACCCTAATTGATAATTTACATATACTTTAGATGTTTGGCATGATTGTATTAGTTTATTTCCCAAAATTTATGAGCCTGGAATTATTGTAAGGTTCTTTTTAATTCTGATTTGATGAAATCTTCTAATGTCTGTTAGGTAAAATGTCCCCTCAGATATATCACAGAAGCTAAGGCTTAATTTTTATTTCCTCTTTATTGATTATAAATATATTTCTTATATGTGGGATTAGATGTTATGTGGTTTGTTTTTTGTGTCTATTTGGTTTTTTGTTTTTGTTTTTGTTTTTGTTTTTTCTTTTGTTTGTTTTTTAGTGCCAGAAAACGCAGAAAATGAAGGAGATGCCTTATTACAATTTACAGCAGAGTTTTCTTCAAGGTAGGGTTAGGATATTAACTATATAAAATTGATGTTCTTTCATGCTACTGTGATTTTTCTGGGACAATTTTAAACATATGTTTCAAAAATTTTTCCTTGTTCAAAGGATTCATTTATGAATTTATATAGTCCTTAAAGTGAAACACATGGTGTTCAGTGTCAGATAACTACTAAACCATTTATGCTATTTAGAGAAATACACAACTTCTCTTAACATCTTTATTGTTGTTGTTGTCATTAAGTGCTATCAAGTAAGTTTTAACACATAGCAAACCTGTATTAAGGTTTACAGGGCTGTAAATCATTGCAGGAGCATAAAGCCTCATCTTTCTCCCTTAGAATGGCTTGTGGACTCAAACTGAGGACCTTGTGGTTAAAAGTCCAGTATTTATCCTGTACAGCCACCACGTTCCCTGTATCTTTATTATTGTTATAGAGACTCAGTATATGGATCACTAATTTAATGCCTTGACTTTTTAAATATTCCTTTAAAAACTAACTGAAGACAAGAGAACAAAAAATTCTTTAAAATAATATTAAGAAAATTTTAATATAAAATATATATGAATTTTTTTAAACTTTTGTTTTGGTATTAGCATTTTTCTTTTGAGAGTCTAATATAAAATGTTTTATATGCATTTGAGAATCTGTTCAAGTATTTAATTATAAAGATAATTTAACTATTAACATTAAATTTCCGTTTAAGTGATATTTCTCTGGGTACTATTTTCTGAGCTATATTTAGTAACTTGGCAAGAAACCATTTTTTCTCTCTATATTGGACTTCCAGAATAAAGTAACTAAAACAGGAAGTTAAGCTTAATGTAATTAGTAAAATCTCATGCAAGTGAGTAACTAACTAAGAATTACTACTTTTAAAATGGCATGATTTTATAGCATTTATTAAATCCATTTGCCAGGAATACTTAAAATTCCTGTGTCTTAATATATCAGTATTGGCCAAAAAGAATTCTAAGACCTAATTAAACTCATTTTTTTTAGCTTTTAAAGTAATGTGCTAAAGTTTAGTCTGTTCTTAAAGAGTCATTATTTTCAAAATGTACTTATAATCATTGATTAGATTTATGAAAGGTTGAAGTACATTTGACATATATGTTAATTAATAGAGCCATTTTTCTCTATAGATATGGTGACTGCCATCCTGTATTTTTTATTGGCTCATTAGAAGCTGCTTTTCAAGAGGCCTTCTACGTAAAAGCCCGAGATGTAAGTGAACTCTTACCCTTTCTGATTAAAAAGTGCAGCCCAAAGGGTTAACGCTAGACCTGAAGAAATGCTTAATGCTTCTGGTTTGGGGTTTTGTTTTGTTTTTGTTTTTTTCAGATTAAAGATTTGTTTTTTGGGTTTTTTGTTTTGTTTTGTTTTGTTTTTTATCTGCCAAGCAGTCATTACCAAAATGCTCACTTGTAAAGGGCATAGTGTGGTAGGTTGTAGTATTGGCTCTTTCACAAGACTTGATCAAGCTCTGAAATAGGGTATTGTTTTTTGTTTTTGTTTTTCCAGCAGAGTTGGGGAGTTGCTGCTTCAAAGAAATAAGCTACATGTTTGTATTTTCAGTCACAAGATTAATGGTTAATAGACTCCTGTTAGATTTGCCTTTCAGTCCTTTCCCAAAGTTGTTACTCACTTAACAATATGTATTTGACAACTATGATAATTTTGTCCTCCCCACTCCCAAGTCACTTTGGGCACCAAAAAGATCCTTCCTTTAAATATAGAAATTGACTGTGATCTTGACATCAAATAGAATGTTTATTTAAAGAATTCAGAAAATTGTATTTGGAGCAAGTAATTCTAGTCAATTACTCTAATGTATTTTAGTGTTCTCAAGCCAGTCAAGACTTTCCATTCCTGCCTTGTACTTCATATATAATCTTTATAATATTATTCTGTTTTCATACTCTACTGCCAATAACACCTTTCATCCTGCTCTTTACCTGAATAACTCCTATTCTTCCTCTAAGATTGGACTTTTCCAAATTCTTTCACTTTTCTCATATTGCCCTCACCCACCCAAATTATACTTTCCAGTGTTGCCTTCTGCTCATCTTTTATTGTTACACTTAGCATATTGTTTGTAATTATCCATTCTGTGTATTTCTAAGGACCCCTGGTAGCAGTTTTTGAATGCTATTAACATTAAGTTTCTATCAATTTAAGTTAGATTATAAATTTAGAAGATTAATCTTCCTGGTAATCACAAAGAACATAGTTGGAAAATATGCACAAAAAGTAATGAGAAGGGAATCAAAGTTCTTCACTACAAAGAGGCAACTAAACACAAAAGAAGGCAGTAATGGAAGAAATGAAGGGCAAAAGTAAGAAGACATAGCATAAATACAAAAACAAAAATGGTATAAATAAATCTTTCTTTATATCTGTGAATAAGGAGCTCTGGTAGCGTAGTGGTTACGAATCGGGCTGCGAACCGCAAGGTCAGCAGTTCGAAACTACCACCTGCTTTGTGGGAGAAAGATGAGGCATTCTGCTCCCGTAAAGATTAACAGCCTCGGAAACCCTGTGTAGGGTCGCTATGAGTCGGAACCGACTCCACGGCACATAACAACATATCTGTGAATAGAGCAAACTCTCCAGTCAAACAGTAGAGATTGACATAATAGATATTTATGAACATGATCCAACTATATGTTCTCTACAAGAGATTGACTTTAGATCTAAAGACACAAACAGGTTAAAAATAAAAGGATGAAAAAAGGTATGTGGTGAAAATAGTAACCAAAACAGAGATGAGGTGACTATAATAATACCAGACAAAATATTTTTTATATAAATAACTGTTGCAAAAGAGTCAATTCAGTATCACTGGTTTTAGTGATTGGTGCATACATTTGAATAATAGTTGTATTAACTGGCCTTACTTTTAGGCATATAGATATTATCCTATCACAGACAGTATTGCACTGCAAGATAGATTTTGAAATGTTCTTTTTGATGATTATTGTGACACTATTCCTTTTCAATTTGTCATTCCTAGCATAGTAAACCATATGATTGTCAGTTTCAAAATGATCAATGCCAGTCCTTTTCAACTTATTATTGCATAGTATAACCACCTTTATACATCCTATTTCATTTTTGACAACTCCCAGTTTTACTAGATTCCCACTTCATACATTCCATGGTCCCAATTATTAATGGAACAGCTGTTTTTCTTCATTTTGAGTTATGTCCCAAAAGCAAATGAAGGTTCTGGAAGCTTTACTCCATTCATGTCATCATGGTCAACTCTACTTTGAGGAGGCACCCTTCCGCAGAGTGCTTTTCAACCTGAGGGCTTCACTTTTTGGAACTATATCTGACAGTATGCTACTCATCATGTTTCAATATTTAATATTCATGTGCTATCTGACAGTGTTCCACTGCTATTCATAAGGTTTTTTTGTAGCTTTACATTCAGAAGTAGTCTTTGTCTCCTCCTTCCTAGTTAGTCTTAGTCTGGAAGCTCAGCTGAAACCTGAGTCGACCATGGGTGACTCTGCTGGTATTTAAAATAACAGTGGTATAGCTTCCAGCATCACAGCAACATGCAAGCCACCATAGTGGCTTTATTTATTTATTTATTTTTAAAAGTAATTCATTTAATTGCAAACATTTTGTAATAAAAGTAAAAACAAAAAAACATGTGGGCATTGTGTTCTGAGCCTCCCACGCTGTGGGGGACACTAGCACAAGGCTCGTTGCAGGGCCTGGACGTGGGCAATACATGCCCCGATGGGCTGGTGTTGGGTCCGCAGCTTAGAGGCCAGGTTCTAGATCTGTGCTTCCACCTTCTCCAGCTCTTTCTGTATCTGCTGCTCAGCTTCCAGGTACCCAGGCTCCTCCTGGCTCAGTGCTAGCCACCGCCGCAGGCTACTCGCTTGTCGTTGGCAGGACCAGATGTTCTGCTTGGTGGTCTGGCAGTGCTGTAATTGCTGGAGGATCCCCTCAAACTCATCTTCTAGCTGAGTGTTGTCTGCTACTTCTGGGCTGAACCCAGGACAGGTCCTGGTGCCTGCGAAGTCCTTAGGGAGCAGCAGCCGGGGATTGGGGACACCAGCCAGGTATGTGGGTGCCAGTGGCTAAAGTGGACCTGACACTCTACTGGCTGTCTCTGGCCCACGTGGCATGAAGGAGGAGGGCGGCAGCAGGATTGGCTCAAGGCCTGCACTCGCTGTGGGGGGCACCCTTAAGCCAGGGGGTCTTGGCAAACTGACAGATGAGTAGACTTCAAAAAGTTCATGGAAAAGTTCCATTATCTTTCTATTCCATTTTTTCATGATCATTTTGAAACCCCCTTATATAGTCTGCAAACATTGAAAGAAGAGAGAGATGAATGGTTCTACAATGCAGTTCAGTGCACTATTTTCAATAATGAATTAAACAACCATTATCAGTCCATTTCAGTTCACTAATGCCCAAGGTATCTATCTTTATGTATTCAATTTCATGTTTGAAAACTTAGATTTTCCTAGGTTCATATTCATACATTCCGCATTCTGATTATTAATGCATATTTGCAGCCATTTCTTCTCATTTTGAGTTGTGCCCCATCAGCAAATGAAGGTTCCTAAAGCTTTGTTTCCTCATGTCATTATGGTCAGCTCTGGTAGCGTAGTGGTTACGAATCGGGCTGTGAACCTTAAGGACAGTGGTTCGAAACTACCAGCTGCTCCGCGGGAGAAAGATGAGGCTTTCTACTCCCGTAAAGATTTACACCCTCGGAAACCCTGTACAGGGTCGCTATGGGTCGGAACTGACTCGACGGCACTTAACAACAACAACTTTGAGGAAAGAGCTCTTCTCCAGATGTGTTTTGAGAACCTTCCAACCTGAGGGGCTCATCTTCCAGCAGAATATCTGACAGTGTTTTGTTTTGTTTTGTTTTTGCTATTCATAAGGGTTTCAGTGGCTAAACATTCAGAAATAGTTCTCCTCTCCCTCTTCTTCGTCTATCTTAGTCTAGAAGCACTGCTGAAACCTGTTTACTTTGGTGACCCTGCTGATACTTCAAATTCCAGTGGCATAGCTTCCAGCATCACAGTAACACATTTGTGACCACAGTACAACAAGTTAATAGACTTATGTGCACTATGACTAAGTGGTGTTGGTTGGGGTTAAGTGCCAAGGAGCTAGTTTCAACTCATAGCTACCCTGTATAAGGTTTCCAAGGCTGTAAATCTTTACAGGAGCAGAAAGCCTCATCTTCCTCCTGGAGGGCTGAGAATATCAATCCACATTAATAGAATAAATAATAATAATAAACACGATCAACTTAGTGGATACATAAAAGGCATTTAATAAACTCAACACCTTTTCATGAGATTATTACCCAGAAAAAAATAGGAATAGAGAGGAAATCCCTCAACTTGATTAAAGGGCATTTATGAAAGACTATGGTTTGCATCACATTGAGACACATTGAATGATTTCTCCCTGAGATTAAGAATGTCCAATATCACCACTACTATTCAAAAGAGTCCTGGTGTGGCACTATAGGACAAGTACTAGACTGCTACCAGCTACTCCTCCGAAACCTATACAGATCATTAGAGTTGGAACTAACTCAATAGGACTTAATAACTATATTCTATATAAAAGCAGTTGTAGCAGTGTTTCATCAGGAAGCTTCCAGAAATTCAGGCAGAATTCAGAAGAGGATGTGGAAGGAGCAGTATCACTGATGACATCAGATGGCTCTTGGCTGAATATAAAGAACACAAGAAAGATGTTAACTTGTGTTTTAATGTCTGCGAAAAAACTTTGACTTTATGGACCATAACAGACTTTGAATAACATTGTGAAGAATGATAATTCCAGAACACTTCATAGACTTCATGCAGAACTTGTACATAGATCAAGAGGCAGTTGTTTGATTAGAACAAGGAGATACTGAATGGTTTTTAAATCAGGAAAGATGTCAGGTTTTTATCCTATCAGCATAGCTACTCAATCTGTATGTTGAGCAAATATCTGAAAAATTGAACTATAGATGAAGACTGATGTGGCATTGTGATTGGAGGAAGGTTCATTAGCAACCTACAATATGCAGGTGACACAATCTTGCTTGCTGAAACTGAACAGGACTTGAAACACTTTCTGATGAAGTGTGGATTGCAACTAACATAAATAAAACAGTAACCCTCACAAAGAGATCAAAAAATAACATCATGATAAACAGAAAAGTTTGAAATTGCCAAGACATTTAT